GCCCCAAGCACCACGTCCTACCGACCCCAGCACACCTGTCTTGCCTCAGATGCCGTCCCCGGCCCAGCAGTACCCCCTGCCGCTCCTCCTGATGCAGCCCCTGCTCCCGACGCGGCCCATGCGCCTGAGTGCAGACCAAACACACCCCTCTTTTCTCCCTCAGGTACTCCCTGCTACTGTCCTGCACCCTGTTGCTGTCGTGGACCCAGCTGCTGTCACGAGCCCTCATCCACTTCTGCTGACGAAGCCCCTGCTCCTGACCCAGGCCCACACACCCCAGCAGGCGCATCTGACGACTCTGTGCCTGCCGTGAGGGAAGCACAACATTCATCGCCTCCACACACCCTTTTTCTCCCTCTCTACTCCCACAGATATTGTGTATCTAGACAGTTGTCTCCTCTAGTGGCCGGCTCATCCACGCCATCGCCGTTATGGCTCACATGTGGCATGCACCGCCAATTCTGCCTCACATGTGCCATGCACCCCTGCAGACAACAAGTCTCCTACACTGCCTGGAGGGAAGGAGCGAGTATTGTAGTGGATTTCTCCCCTACAAACGCTGTTTGTCGCTGAGTAGCTGACCCCGCGAATTCCACAGTGTATGCCTCGGGGTCTAGGTCAACCAGCGCCGCCCACGGAGCGGGGTTCAACTATCTACCCACGCCTACCTCCGCTATAAAAGACCTGACCTCGTGGTGACCTCTCTCTTCTTCTAGCTACAGCCGCAGCAAGCAACACCACCTCCTCCGCCGCTGCCTGGCGGCCCTCGCTCCCGCTGGCGATCATGGCGACCCACAAGCTGTCCTCAGAGCACCCTCACCAACCAGCTCTCTCTACATCACGCTTGTAACCACGCTGCCACTTCCCAGCACCAAGCTGCATTGTACATCCAATACAACATGTATACAGAGAGCACATTGTGAGTTTCCTTTCTCCATCCCATCCTGAGTGTGAACCCAAACATAACGTACCCCACAATGTCACCATGGAGGCCGAGAGACTAGGTCTATGCAGTGGACGTAGGGGTACCGACCTAGTCTCGACCTTGAACTTAAAGCTCAGGATCAGAGCCTTTCACACCTTACGCTCCTGCTCCTGTGATTGGCCCTCGCGCTACGAGCACCTCATATCCTGAGATTCCTAAATCACATAAATACGGCCCCGGCTGACCGGGGAACTTCACTGTTGCAGGCCTCTTAGATCAGAGTGAACATGGCCCCAAGAAACTACAGGAGACATCCCGCGGAAACAAACAGACATCTCCTGCAAGTCATAGTTAAGGATACCAGGGAAGGGAAGGAAGAAATCAAAAGCGTAAGCTGGCTCAAGCGGTGCTACAAACTGAACGAGCACACCTCCCTCGGCAAAATGTGGGCCCAGATCCGAAGGGCATCTGGGAAGGCAACACCACCACCACCAACCCATCCCAACCCAGAAGAGGAAGCTGTTCTCTGACCGAGCAGCAACGAAAAACCTCCCGAGACATGCGGAGGAGACACAACGGCGTCTGCGACAGACCAGACTCCAGATGATCGAAGAGGCCTGCAACAGTGAAGATGACACTGACAGACCTTTCAACCAGCAAGATATCCAGAAGTTGCTAAAACGAAGCAAGGACACAGCACCAGGGGCCGACAGGATAACCTACTCCATGCTTTCCCATGCCTGTAAAGCCGGACACGAGGCTTTCCTACAAGTCATCAATGCTTCGTGGACAGCACAAAGACTCCCACCGGAATGGGAGAAGGCAGATATACAGCCCACTCCGAAGCCCAGAGAACCAAACAAACCGAGGCCCATCTCCCTTCTCAGCTGTATAGCGAAGACGGGAGAAAGAATGGCTCTCAACCGACTCAAGTGGAAAGTAGGCAGCCCACACCCTCACATTTTTGCTTACACCGTGAACACCGGCACAGGCAACAACATCGCCGAGATACTCAGCACAGTGGACTACAAACCAGCTCTGGTGGTCTTCCTCGATCTGGAGAAGGCCTTCGAACTAGCAAATCCACTGGCCATTACAACGACGCTCGCTGAAAAAGGCGTCAAAGGAAGGTTGCAGGGGTGGATCCAGAACTACCTAACACAGAGAGAAGCACGAGTACGCTTTCAGGGAGCAACCTCAAGCTACAGGGTCCATGAAAACGGAACCCCACAAGGAGGCATCCTCAGTCCAATGCTGTTCAATGTCCTGATGGAAAATCTTGTCAAACTTCCTTTCAGACAAACAGCCAAGCTCCTATGCTATGCAGACGACATACAGCTTATAGTAAGAGGATCAAACAGACTAGCCAACATGCAACACGCACTACAACTTATAGAAGAGGAGTGCAACAGATTTGGACTCAAGATAAATCCAGCCAAGTCGAAAGCGATGGCTATCTGCACAGACACACCAGACAAGATGCTCTCCATACAAAACACGCCGGTAGTCTGGACCAACACCCACCAGTGTCTTGGAATCTGGTTTGACCAGAAACTCACTTTCAAGCCGCAACTCGAGTATCTCAGGCACAGGACGAAGAGCAGACACAATATAATAAGGTCGCTCACCAGCACAACCGCAGGAGCAAACCTTCATGTGCTCAAAGCCTACTACACGGCCGCCATCAGATCGCTGGTAGATTACAGTGCTCCAGCACTCATTGGACTGAGAGAAGACCAAATAGCTAAGCTAGAAGTCATCCAAAATAATGCTCTCAGGACCATGCTCGGAGCACCCATGTGGACCAGAATTTGCAATTTGCAAATGGAAACTGAACTACCACCCCTGGCAGTACGAGTCAAGCAGGTGACAGCCGGTCTCCTTGCCAAGATCTGTAGGTCAGATAAGCCCACAGCTGCCAAAACGCGAATCAGTGCCTCCCTCCACCTCGACCACAGAGAGCGAGGGGCCACCTGGTCGCACGAGGCAAGCGAGGTCATCCGACACCTGCAAGCAGAAACACTCGTCAAGAACAACCAAGACACACGAGACAATGGTTACGTAGTTCCTCCACCATGGAGCCCTCCACCAGCCACATTCAAAATTACCGACCTAGGTGATAGCAAAGCCAACCTCCAGAAGGAGGACCTCAAAAAAATAACTCTAGAAGCCATAGCCACCGAGACACCGGCTGATGCAGCATCATACTTCACAGACGGCTCGGTGGATCCAAAACATCATACATCCGGAGTGGCCTTCTACACCCAAGGTCAGACCCTCCGATGGAGACTTTCTAATGACTGCTCCACCCTACAGAGCTGGTAGCAATCTCAAAAGCCCTACAACACGCTGCAACACAACACAACAAGTCCATCATAATTCACACGGACTCGAATTCAGCCATGCAGGCGCTGCAACACAGTCAACCAAGAGACAACGTCCACATCATAACCTCGATCCTCGCACAGCTACAGGAATTCCAAAGACAAAACCGCCCAGTCGTCTTACACTGGATTCCCAGTCATGTAGGGATCGGAGGAAACGACGTGGCAGACGAAGCAGCCAAGGCAGCTACACGTTCTAGTAGCGTACACATTCAAGTTCCAGCAAGCGTGCAACAGATCAAGAATCACCTCAGAAATACTAGCAAGCTCCACATCAAAAAGAGCTTCCTTCACGCATTCAACGCTGGTTCCCAATCAGCCAAATGGTACCTGGCGGCTACAAAAGGGGAACCACCTTTCGCGGGCAAGAAAACACCAAGACAAACCCAAGTCAGCCTTCATCGACTACGACTAGGGCACAAGTGCTCCTGGCAGATGATCGGAAATGACGTCATGGAATGCACCTACTGTCAGGAGCCAGCAGCCAACCCACTTGAACACTATCTCCTCGACTGCGAAGTCACACAAAGTCTCCGAAACAGAACTCAAAACTTCCAAGAAGCACACACAACACCAGCGGCCACTCTAACCCGAAAGGCCCAAACAAACCACATTCACCACCTTCTCCGGGTCATCACACGATACCCACCACCCAGATAGCTTAGAAAGTATCCTCTCCCAGCAAGTGCGGACCCCAGTTCGGGGGGGCGCGCCACTCCAAAACTGACCACGTCCAAGAGTGGGGGTTGGTGGTAAGCGTCCACTGATCGGGGATCCGCTCACACTTGCAACCTGCAATATCCTTCCAAATCTGCAGGTAGGACCACCTCCAATCCCAATCCGGTCTGGCTGCTCCAGGAGCTCCAGCCGGAACCACCAAACGGGGCCGCCTATAGGCAAAGGCCCGTGTCGGCCTACGGTCCAACAATCTCAACAACAACAACAACAACCGGGGAGCTCATTCTACACTCGGCTACCGGACCAGCAACATCTCTCAACAGCTCCTCACCACCCAGCTTCCTCAGAAACCTCCTCGCCCTACAGGACCTCTGAGCAAGCTACTCCTCACCTAGTCACTCCTAAGCACTGCGCTGTACAACAATATATATACAGGAAGGGCATTGTGAGTTTCTATCCAACCTCATTCCTGAGTGAAGGTATCTACATGTACGTACGTTTGTGTGTCCATACAAAGAGAAAATAAACAACTAAAGAGAATTGACAACTGGCCACGTACAGTACGCTACAAGGGACTGAGGGCTGCTAACTTGCGCCACGTTAGTCAACACCACTGGCAGCTGATGACTCAACGGAAATGTACAATACGTAAAGGATGATAAAAGATTTGTCACGAAAATCTGGGAGACCAGACCACCAGAACCGTGTTTGGTAACGATAGTCATACAATACAATACAACTTAAGATGATTCGTCTGATCTATTAGAGGTTTATAAGTATAATAAGCAACTTATATTAAAGAGCCCTCTCTATTCTGTCGAATTACATACCTGGAGCTGGCGGACGCCCGCCCCTCAAAGGGTCACAGCTCAAGGTTGTACTGTTGAAGAAGCCTCAAGTCCAGGAAACAGAGAGGGCAAACTTTTTCTGAGTGAGAATTGTGAACTCTTGGACCAATCTGCCAGTGTTGTGACAGGCTAACAGCACCGAGTGTGAACAGGTTCAAGACCAGACTTGACCAACACTGGAGCAGGTTCCGATATATTCAGGAGCCAGTTCATGCCCAGTACTTACCAACGAGTCGATCAGTGGCGAAGGGAATATCCTTAAAAAAGTACTGTACATGTACAGTGTGCAACAGAACTGACCGACTGGCTATTGGAGAGAGGATAAGTAAAAGTAAGTAAACCAACAGTATGGCAAGTCCAGGCTCTGCCGAGAGTGATGAATACTTGAGGAAAGTTAATGAATTGTTAGCAAACCTTGAGGAGTGCTGCACAAAGGATGAAGACCAGAATCCTGAAAAGGAAGTTATCCAGTACTTGGATTCATTCGACGAACCTGTGCATAATGAAGTCAACCACCTTATTCGCTGCAGTAATAGTGTGTCTCATGTCTCGGCCATCAATCACACCCTAGGACAAAAGGACTTCGAGGCCTTTAGTCAGACCCCATGCCAGGATTCTTCGCAGTTGGTGGCTAGCAATCAGATTTCATATACAACTATAACTCAGCCACATTTGTCTGGTGCTGGCAAGACCCTACACAAGATCTCACAAGGTATGTATTAACGGTAATTATTTATTGTAGTGGATATTTTACCGTGACCAGCTAAGTTCCTACTAACGCTACTTTACTGCGAGTGAACTCTGACTGGAGTTAGGTAAGTTTCTTTGGTTGTTTAGGTCACTGTCTATTAGGTTTTTAGTAAATGTTCCCTGTTTTATAATGATTAGAACATTGTAAAAAAATGAACAAAAAAGGGTAAATTTATAGAAGTGCACCGTTCTTTCTTTGGATATTACAAATGTGTTTTTACTTTATTTTTTGATGAGTTTTGAACGAATTTGATGTTCATATCAGCCGGAAATCACTCGTTTTTTAGATACACCCCCAACAATCTTAAGGGAAGATGTTGGAAAATTGGATTTTTTTGTTGGGTAAATCACAGAAACGGAGAACGGGTCCGACTAATTACCCAAATGTACCCAAATATAGCCGGAATGATGTCAAATAATGGTCCTAGATGAATAAATCGGACTGCCAATCACTTCTCGACTAGTATTTGGTGTCACAGTCACAAAAAATTGGTAAACTTAATTTAATCTGAGTTAATAAATCAAGTGCATGTACTTAACCTAACCTAATCTAACCTAACCTAACCTAACCTCGACTAGTATTTGGCGTCACGAAGTCACAAAAAATTGGTAAACTTAATTTAATCTGAGTTAATAAATCAAGTGCATGTACCTAACCTAACCTAACCTAACTTAACTTAACACAACACAACTCAGATTAAATTAAGTTTACCAATTTTTTTTTACTTAATGACACCAAATAATAATCGAGAAGTGATTCACAGCCCGAATTACGCTTGTACGACCATCATTTGACTTCATTGCGGCTACATTTGGGTAATTCCTCGCTTCATCGGTACATGCACGCGATCTATTAACTCAGATTAAAGTAAGTTTTCCAGTCTTTTGTGACTTTCTGACACCAAATACTAGTTGAGAAGTGATTAGCAGTCCGATTTATTCATGTAGGACCATTATTTGACTTCATTGCGGCTACATTTGGGTACATTTGGGTAATTAGTCGGACCGGGGAGAACAAGGCAAAAATCGGGAAAGGTGTAGAAGAGGGTGAGCAACAGAAGGAATTGTCCGAATTGGTTGCTATTTTTTCTACATACTAATATCATGATACCAAATACAAAAATGGAAACGATAATGTATATAACCTGACCTAACATACCCATAGGTTGGGTATGTTAGGTCAGGTTTTATTAGGTGCTATGCATTATTTTGTATTTATTTTTGTATATAGTGCTAATAACATACTAAACACAAAAATGGAACGATAATGCATAGAACCTAATAGAACCTGACCTAACATACCTATAGGTTGGGTATGTTATGTCAGGTTCTGTTAGGTTCTATGCATTGACGTTTCCATATTTGCGTTTAATATCATGAAAAAATCGCAATCAATTCGGACAATTCCTTCTGGTGGTCACCCTCTTCTACACCTTTACCAAAAATCGTTCAAAACTCATCAAAAACCATAGGAAAAAACATATTTCTAGTGCAGAAAGAAATGTAACCTAACTTAATTTACCCCTTTTTTCTGTGTAAAAAACATAAAAACCAACCAGCCAACTTAACCTAACTGAACCAGTATTATTTTACTTTAGGACATAGCACGCCTTAAGTTATAAACTACTGAAACATTTAGGTCTTCCTATTCTGAGCTTTTTTAATCCCATTTATACCATTCGAAATGGAAAATAGCGACACAATTGAATTGAATTGATTTTACGTATTTTTCAGTCTTCGTCTATGAAGAGATGTTATCTGCGTAAATCACAGTTAATTATGGATCACGCATGTGCAATATTGAGTGACGTCATCCAGTCATGACCAATGATGTAGTGATATCATACCGTGATTTTTTTTACCAATCACATTTGAATTTTTCAAAGCAGCTTGGTTACAGATTTGAAATGCAATGACCAGTCTGACAATGGCCGTGGTGGAGGTTGGGTGTCAATCGTGCTCCTAGGTTTATTTTAGGTTTATTGCTGAGTTTTTCGAGAAAGACGATCATTCTGTCCAATTCTTACGTAATCACGGTGTTCGCCCTGTGTCTGTTGAGTGCCCGCAAACTATCTATTTCTGACAAAAATGAAGGTCAGATTCGCTTAAAACACACCAAAATACACTGGAAATATATATTGGTCAACCCCTAGGGACTCGTGTCCTAAAGTAAAAGTTTACCACCTAACCTGACCTGACGAAAAAGTTGCACCTCTTCCGTTTCTTACTGTTTGGCTGAAGAAAATTGGTGACACCGCCAAATGTGCTTTTCTTCACTCAGTGTACACTGATTATACACATTGGACACGTAACTTTGTTCGGTAACATACCGTGTTTTCTAAAAAAAAAATGAAATAGCCTCACTATTTTTCTGATGAAACTCGGTAATTGACGTAAAATAATCTTTATCACAATGTCAGCACAGCTCTTCAACCTGTTTAGTCATATCTGGTGCTGAAAATTCAAATCTCCACTCCCGACCCACCCACGCATTGTTCATTGGCTAAGACAATAAACTCTAGCCCAATAATAAGTCTCCTCTCGCTATAGCCAATAAGGAACTCTCACACCACCCTCTGCACATGCGCTGTAGATGCTTAAAAAGCCAACACGGAGGTAACGAAGTACTGGCTGGGGGGGAGGGTCAGAGCTTCTCCGCGAGACGTAAACAACAAATGGTGAGATTTGTGACTTGTGATTTGGGTGATAAGAGAGAAGGGATCAAATGGGTCAACAATAAATACCTCGCAGACTTGGATTATGCAGATGATGTAGTACTGATGAGCAGATCCATTCAGAATTTGCAAACTATTGTTAGCAGACTGGAGGAAAAGGGAAAAAGGGCTGGATTAACGATTAATGTTAGAAAAACAGAGGTTCTGAAAGCAGACCAAGAATTTGAAGGGAACATTCAGGTGCAGGACCAAATTATGGGAGAAGTTCCTGTTTTCAAGTATTTGGGGACACTCGTCAAAAACGGTGGATCACTTGCAGATGAGTTTCAGGACGGCATTAGAAGAGGTCATCAAGGTATGGGTATACTGGGCCAAGTGTGGAAGTCACATAGACTAGTCCATACCAAACTGAGATTATATACTTCACTGGTAAGACCCGTTTTGGTATACGGAAGTGAATCTTGGTATGATAATGACACTTTATCCAGAAGATTCCGAACTTTCGAGAGTAAGGCATTGACAAGAATCTTGAACATAACATAGCGTGATCGTATTAGAATCGAGACGATAAGAGAAGTCACAAATGTTCCCAATATCAATGAATGGCTGATGAAGAATCGAAGGAGGTGGCTGGGGCACGTTCTGCGTGTGCGTCCGGATAGAGTATTGAGAGAGGCAGTCGAGTGGAGAGTGGACAGAACAAGAAGAAGAGGAAGACCAAGGCCTATGTGGATCCCAACTATAAGAATGGAGATGGGGGACGAGGTAAATATAATAATACAGTGGTCCGTAGGTTAACGAACTGTTCGATTAATTAAATTTCGGTTAACGAATTACCTCCCATAAGGATCTTCAATTCGGTTAACGAACAAAACTTCGATTAACGAAATCCCTACGAAAAACACGTTTTGTTGTGAGCATCAGCTGATCAGCTAGTCTGCCAATTCAGTAATCTGTTCTATGTTTACATTCGTTTCCAGTGGAGTAAATATCAAGAATGTTGTGCTCTTTAATATTTTTGCATTTTTTATATTAAAATTACGTACAAAGTAAAAATAAATGCAGTAAAGTACATTTACTTTGAGGTGTGTATGTAGAAGGCTCCTGGTTGATGATGATGATGGGAATTAGAAGTGGGGGTGGAGGAGAAGGGAGAAGAGAAGGAAGTGGGGGTGGAAGAGAAATCACCCCATGCTTCATGCCGTCATTTCACCCATAAAATTTTAAGTTCACTAGGTGTAATTCACCTGGGTGTGGAGCAATGGCCAAACACCGTTGCCACTACCACCTCATCACCTTGCATTGATTTTCACAACTGTAATAAACATATTACAGGGTGGACAAGACATATACTATCCAACAATTAATTCTCAATTTTTTTTTATCATTTAGTATTGATTTTTTCCAAGAATGGTAATGGTGAGAGGTGGAAGTGATCAAGTAACAGCCTCATTTAGTGTTACTGGTGGTGAGCAAGCCACGTCCCCTCCCCTCCTATGTTGTTATATGAGGGGCTTTCCCTCACAAAAACCAGATACAGTGGGGTATGCTATAACGAATCTAATTGGTTCTAGAACCTTGTTCGTTATAGCATTCGTTTGTTATAGGATTAATCCGTTCCAGGCCCCCAAATACAACCGCTTAACACTGAAAAATATAATATAAAATTGTAAAAATTGTAAAAAGGTGCATAAATATGCATCTAAACCCCTGAAATAAAGAATATCATTAATATTTGTAATAATAAAACAATAAATTAGAAAAAAAAAAATTTAAATTATGTTCGTTGTAGGAGTTTCGTTCGTTATAGCATTCTCAATTTTATAGGTAAAACCGTTCGTAATAGGAATATTCGTAGTAGGATCCGTTCGTTATAGCATACCCCACTGTACCTTATCAACTGGTTTCCCTAATGACACATTAGCTGCCAAAAGCTCACTGGCATTCCTCCCTAGAATCTCAAGTAAAGGCATAAATAATTAAGGGAAAGTTAGGTAAATCTGACACTTCTCCAGACACCTGCCCTCCTGGTTGGTTGGTTGGTTGTTTGTTTGGGCTTTAGGCCTTTGAACTGCCAGGATCATTAAGGCCGTCAACATCAAGCTACATCCACCAACCTTAACACCTTCTTAAGCCATTAAGGATAATTATAATACCACATACACTCTCACTATGTATGTGGCCCTTGACTCACTCCCTCCTACCTTACCTGGGTCTGCCAACCCTAGCTCTTGGACTCATCCCCCATCAATGCCTCCCCCTCTCTCTTGTGACCTGTCGTGTAGAAAGCCCTTGAGCTCGCGGGTGTGGTAGTAGGAAGGGTGGATGATTGCTTTTGATCGTGACTGAAGGACCCTTTTGGAAATAAGCATCTTATGGCTTTGTTTGCTATTGGTCAAATTGCCTAAATTATGTGGTTATAGTATGGTAATTTCTTGAGTGATCTTTGTACAATATAATATAACTTTGGCAAGGACTGAACTAAATATTGTACAGAAGTAACTTACGGTTTCATTAGTTTGGAGGTGGCAGCACATGTGAGTATGGTCTGGTCACAAATTTATAATATTTATCATAACAAATTACAACCCCTTTTCAACTCTTAGACTTTAGGCAGAGTCAGACATGACCTTCAGTGAGTGTAGATTACTCAGTACATGTACTATGCCTAGATTCCATTCCCCCATCTACTGACTGATTTACTGTGCCTCTTACCTAGTTTCTTGTTAAACCCTGTAAATTTTACCAAATTTTCTCTGTGGTATTCAATAACTATCACATTGCTCTCGTATACAGTACATGGCCTGACGCATACGGTAACTCAGACCTGTTTTACGGTGTAACCCCTATTATTCATTGTACTGTACAGTACTAAATATTGTGTCTTTCTTTTCCAGAAGGAGGTGTGTCATCACCAAGAGCAATAGTGACATATACCTTGCAAGGTGAGCAGAAGAGGATTGAAGTTGTACCTGACTCGTTGACTCTTGGGTCACAAGAGAAGGTTGGTGGAAACTCACTTGTACCAAAAGAGCCACAACCGAGTTGCAGTAAAAGAGATTATAGCAGTACTTGTGATAAACCCAACAAAAAGATAAAACTGCATGAAATTAAAGACCCATATGAAGATAAAGAAGAAGAACAGCGAAGAGTAAATGCCATCAATCAATTTGAGTATCGACAGAAACAAAAGAAATATAAGCAAGAACTGGAGGAGAATTTGAAGCTAAAGACTCGTGAACTTGACAATGAAATACAGAAAAGGAAAGATGTAGAAGCACAATTAATTAACATTATCAAGGAAAGAGACATGCAAACATACACAATTAATATGCTGCAGGAGCAGTTGAAGACCAAAGCTGAGGAGTACATATTCCTCTTGAAACGTTTACTACCAAGTCAAATGACCCAGTAGAAGGTATGTGGCCTCATCCAGGTTTCTGATGTAGCACCAAATTATTTTAACATGAAGCTTGGCTTCTCAGGCAGTACTTCAGTACCCTTGTGAGTGTACACTATATCAGTGCTTCTCAAACTGTCTGATGTGGCAGAGAGGTAGGGTTTTTTTTCCAATGTGCCAGGGACTGGTACCATATTTGTCTCATATTATTACCGTACCCCTATTTGTTTACGATCTGAGAAAATATTATTTGAACATTCGTAGTAATATTAATTTATACCTGATAAATATAGGGAATACAGTATAATAAAAGTTGATACATTTTTTTTATTTTTTATTTATTTTGTAAACAAGTAATACAGGTTGTACCTCTCTAGTCCGGCAATCTGTGGTCCGGAAACTCCCGTGGTCCGAAACGATTTTAGTTTGTCCAATAGGTAGATAGGCAGCATCTGAATTATTATTATTATTACAGGAGTATTAAATTTTTGCCCCTCAGGCCCCAATGTGGGTCAGTGACCTAAGCCCGGGTGGGCTAATCCCAGTAAAAAAAAAAAAAGCCGCTGGAAATTAAGGTTTGTTTACATCCGGCAGCTCTCTCTCTCTCTCTGCTTGTCTATACAGAGTACAACATTTAATCCTTCAATATATATGAGCAGTAAATAAGTGTTGCTTTCATATTCTTATGTAGAGTAATGACGATATATTTTCACATGTGCGCACTTACATACGATCAGTCTCACCTTTTTTTATCATTAATGGTTAGCTACTTATATTGTTCCATTTATTAACATTAAATAACATTAAAGGTACTTCAAACAACCATATTAATTTTTTTGCATTAATTTTACTACAGCTAAACTCAGGGTCTTATTTTCTTCAGTTTTATATGTAGAACCAATCAGTCACTGGTTTTGTAAGCTTTAACATAACAATGCCGGCAGCTGTCTCGTCTCCTCTAATATTCCACGTATTATTAATAAATTGTATTGTTAATTTTGCACACACAAACATTAATTCAATAAAAACAAATTCATAAACATTAATTAAAATATATATGAACAGTAAATAAGTGTTGCTTTCATATTCTTATGTAAAGTAATGACGATATGTTTTCACGTGTGCGCACTTACATACGCGATCTCTCTTTTTCTTTACCATTATCGTTAGCTACTTCTATTGTTCCATTTATTAACATTAAATAACATTACTTAAAACAACCATATTAATTTTACTACAGTACAGCTACAACCAAGGTCTTATTTTCTTCAGTTTTATATGTAGAACCAGTCAGTCACTTGTTTTGTAATCAACGAAAACAATGCTGTGTCATTTCCTTGTGTGTTTTAATATTCTACGTATTATTAATGAATTGTATTGCTCATTTTGCACACATAAACATTAATTCAATAAAAAAGACATTCAGTAATAAACAATAATGAATCTTTTGTACATAAGAGAAATGACGCTGTTTACACGATTATGCACGTCATCTGCACATTGGCGGGCCGTTCAAACCCGTCGAAATTCAAGTTTCCGCCGTCAAAATTTTTATTTATTTATTTTTTTATGTGTTCCAATAAAATACTTTAAGAATTAAAAACTCGCGAAATTTGAGAACCTACTATACGCCATTTAACCCTTCAATATGTCTTCAAAGAGACCATGAAGCAGAGAAAGTGGTGCTAGTGCTTCCAAGCATAAGCACAAGTCACTATCTATCCAGGAAAAGGGTGAATTTCCATGGTCCGGCAGCGGTCAGGACCCGAGGTTGCCGGACTAGAGAGGTACAACCTGTATATATATATATATTATATATATATATATATATATATATATATATATATATATAATATATATATATATATATATATATATATATATATATATATATATATATATATATATATGTGTGTGTTCATACATTCATTATTATTCTGCCCACCATAATAAAGTCAAACAGTCAGTATTTTCAACAATGTTTTTACGTGCCTTGAGAATTTGCAGTCCGGAATTCATCGATGAGGAATACAAATATATATATAATATTGGCTCAAACCTTAAATACCCTAGATCTTTCATAGACAAATGCTTAAACATTACTAAGAAAACTTTTTATAGAACTGATCCCAAGCCCACCCATGACCATAAGAATATCTTAATATTACCATTTCACAAAAATTTCTCACACATTCCTGCACAGCTAAAAACCTGGAACGTCAATGTGGCATTTAAAAACTCATGCACTGTTAAACAAATGTTAATCAAGAACTCCCCCAACAACACAATTGGTTGCATTTATAAAGTTCCTTGCAAGGAATGTAATATGTTTTACTTAGGCCAGACAGGTAAAGATTTTGCAACTAGAATTAAACAACACAAATACAGTGTTAGGACAGGCCAGGAATCCAATGCTCTGTTTGTTCATTTAAGGGATAACAAGCATTGCATTGACTGGGATAATGCCTCCTCAATATTACCTTGTAATTCAATTGATAGTAGGAACATCATAGAATCTAGTCTTATTAAACATACCGAAGCATTCAACATGAATTTGAGTTATGGCATGTACAAGCTGGACAATTTTGTAATTAAGAAGATTTGTAACCAGGTGAGAAGGTTGGGTCACCTTACCATATGACCTGACCACCAACCGTTGTGTGCTGTTTAAAGATTAGTAGGGTCATTACCTAATACCTGACCATTGTGGACCTGGTCTCACCCTCCTCTGTATATATACACCTTGGTTTGTATTTCTCTTTAGTCTGTACTCACCCCTGAAGATGTGAATTACACGAAAGCGCTTGGGAACTTCGTGTTTTCTTCCTTCCTTGTGGTTATCAGCATGTATATATATGTATATATATATATATATATATATATATATATATATATATATATATATATATATATATATATATATATATATATATATATATATATATATATATATATATATATATATATATATATATATATATATATATATATATATATATATATATATATATATATATATATATATATATATATATATATATATATATACTAATAATAAAATGAAAAATTATATATTTTAGTTATTTTAAACCCCAATGCATAAAGACGTTTAAACAAAGATTGAAAGGAATAGGCAACATTAAATTGAAGACATAACAATTTTTAAAATATGTCGTAATACTAAAATATGAAATTGATGACTATTTTATAAACACAATAATAGGTATGTTAAAACCTCAACCTTTACTTATGTGAAAGGTGAGCTGCTTCTTCTTTGTCAGCTTATCCAATCGTAGTTCAATTGAGGACAGAGCCACGCGCAATGGAGAATGAATATCCATACTATTTCTATACTTTTCTTAATGACACTCATGGTTGAGAAGCCAGCCTCGCAGAGGTATGTTGAAGGAAATGGGAGAAGAGTTTTCAGAGCAATTTCAGTAAGCTCAGGATATTCTGCTTTCACTTTTATCCAAAAGGAACCGAGTGATGATGTGTTTCAAAACTCATCTTCAATCCTTCGTCAGCAGCCAGCTCCAACAATTTATCCTCCTTAGTGATACTTAAGTCATCTCTCAATGCCATAAATGGATTTCGGATCCGTCCATTCCCTCTACGTGGATCTTCTTTTGCTGGAAAGTAATGCTGAAAACGTTCTGCCAAATTCGTCAAGTGTTCTCTGATGACAATTCGTAGAGATAGGGCATATCGAGCTATGAAACTATCTCCTTCTCCTATTACCCACACCTCTTTCATTACTTCTAGGAATCGTTGTAAGGCTATTCTTCGTAGGGCCAAGTGGAATTTTATTAAAAGAAAGACTGCTGTCCTGACTAATTCTTCCTCTAGTAAATCCTTCTGGTCCTTAGCTAAAAACATCTGTAACAACTTCTGCACGCCTTCTTTTCCTCCCCTCTTCCGTCCCAATGATTCTATAGCCAACTCTCCCCCTGAGAAAGTCAATCTCTTTGGCACATTATTCTCCTCTAATTCCACCTTAGACGATTCCCACTCTACCCCTCCTACCCCTGCACCTCCTACTGAACCTATGCACTTTCCTATAATCTCCACTCGCAGGGTTGCCGGTGTGTTATCCAGGTTGGATGTGAGTAAGGCACATGGACCGGACGGAATACCCCCTCGTGTTCTGAGGGAGTGTGCTGAAGCCCTGGCCCCTGTGCTTGCTCGCCTCTTTCGCCTTTGCCTCAAAACCAAAACTTTTCCTTCTTCTTGGAAGCATGCCTTGGTTCAGCCCATCCCGAAGAAGGGTGACCATTCTAATCCCTCTAACTATCGCCCCATTGCCCTAACTTCATCCCTCTCTAAGTTTTTCGAAACTATCTTGAACTCCCATTTTCTCCGTCACCTTGAACGCCTTTCTCTTTTGTCTGATCACCAGTATGGCTTTCGCCAGGCGAGATCTACTGGTGATCTGCTCTCCTATTGCACCCATCTTTGGCCATCCTCTCTTAGGGATTATGGGGAAACTTTTGTCGTGGCCCTCGACATCTCCAAAGCATTTGACAGGGTATGGCACAAGTCTTTGCTATCTAAACTTCCCGCTTTTGGTTTCTCTCCCCCACTTTGTTCTCTCATCTCTAGCTTCCTTGAGAATCGATCCATGGCAGTTGTTGTCGAGGGATCGATCTCTCGTTCTTTCTCTACCAATAGTGGCGTCCCACAGGGTTCTGTTCTTTCACCAACTCTCTTTCTTTTTATCAATGATTTACTTCACACTACAACTAATTCTATCCATTCTTACGCCGATGATTCTACTCTTCACTCTTCCTCACATTTTCCCCTTCCTCCTAACTCTCAAACTAGATCTGTTTCTAGAACTGATATCATTACTTCTATCAACGTGGATCTGTGCAGCATCTCTGAATGGGGAGATACAAACTTGGTTAAGTTCAACAGTAACAAAACTCAATATTTACCAATTACACTTTGTAAAGTAGATGATCTCCCACCAATTACATTTCAGGACGCTATCATCCTCCCAAATTCTGAAATAAATA